GTTCGACCATGGACTCTCGTATAAATTTTCAACTGATGCGTATATTTACTTTATTATTTATTTACCGTAAAAGAGGAAAAATATGTATGTATATCTTTTTTATCTTTGCTTTTTTAAATATTAACATGGAATTTTTAACATTATCGATTGAAACGAAAACAATAGTTTTTATCTGTTATAAAATATTATTAATAAATAACACTTTATATTAATTTAATATTTTTTAAAGGAGTCAAAGTTAAAGGTGTTGTAATATAAAAGATGCACAAAGAAGAAAAGAATTGAAAAAAAAAAAGTATTTAGAAAATATATAACACGTTCGTAAAAGTAATTGAGCTAGTTTCAAACGAGACGTGACAATTTCAACGTCATTTCCTATCCTTTTGACTATTTCTATCATATCATAGAAACTTATGAAGAGAAGTTTCGATATTGTGAAATATGATGAATATAATCATCATGCTGTTATATAGAGTATGTATCAGATATAAATGTATATCAAATGAAATTACTGCAATACTTCCTAGTAATTTGTAAATGAATCAAAAAATGATAATGTGAAATTTAAATGTTAAATTAGTATATCACATAACAAAAAATTTAATATTTTCTTTGAATTGTTTATACATATGCTTTCTATAAACCTTTTTAATTAATATTAACGTTTGTCATGGTAAAAAAAAAAGAACAATAAAAAAAACAGATGTATGCAGATCACACACGGTAGAAGTGAAACCTTCAACGAAAACCAAGCTTCGAGACGTGAATATATCGAAACAATTAAATTTTAATACAGCGCCATCTATTGAAAGAACCTTACAGAACCTAAATAACCTCTAAATAAAAATCTGTAAATTAGTAATAAAAAATAATTTTAAAAAAATTAAGTTGGGAAAAATCACGTGAAATAAAATAAACTTTATTAAGATAAATTGAGTAGTTTTGGAATTATTAGTGGACAAACATATTGTGACACTGAATTTTTATATATAGAATTTTATTAATTAATTAATTAATATATAGAATTAAATTATATAGAATTAAATATATAGAATTAAATTAAATATTGAATTTTATTAATTAATTAATTAATTATTTTTGTTTCATCGGTTTCACGTTCTCCGTTTCACGTTCTTCCTTTTCACGATTTTCAAATCACCCTGATTCTAAAGAAGTTATCACTTCAAAAATAATAATAATCTTTTCTATTTATACGATTCGTTTAATGGTAAAGTCCCGAGCTTTTTAGACTCACAGTAGAACGTTGAAACATAGGAAGGAAGGAAGGAAGAAAAGAAGAGAAGGAGTCAAACGCATAAACGTGAAGCTAACGCGCGTTACCATATTCTCGTGAAATTTTTTATAAACCCGTTCGCCTTTCGAAACACACAGAAATAAGCGTAGCAGCACCACGTACCATTGTAATTCTCAGAGGCTCAATTATCTCTCTACTACTCGTTCCTTTTTCTTTTCGGTTATACCTATGCATGTACATACATAGGTAAACGTTGGTCGTATTTGAATAATAATCCCCAGATCGACCAACTTGCGAGCTTCTTCATCGTGGTTGGGCTGATTAAAGCAAACGACCGAGAGTCACTGAACCAACCTTGGGGGGTATATTTCTACGTGCACACACGTCTTATCCTTTACCTGCGATCTTTCAACGTAAAAGGATAAAATGAAAGTCGCAAGAAACTACACTCTATATATATATATATATATATATTAATACATATATTACACATACATGTATACTTCTATGAAAGTCTCTTTCTTTCTCTTACGTTGACCTTTAATAAGTATCAAAAACTTCTCCAGAGTATTCGCTTCCAAGACCTGACATCATATGACTTCATTGACAACATATTTTCATCCCTTCTTTTTATCTTTGCTAACCGACTGTAGACATTTATTAATTTAATCTTCTTATTCATGTTTTTTTTGTTCTTTTCGTTCATCGATCGTACGAGCTCAACGAAATGAAAAAAAATTCGTCACTTTTCCTATAACCACGTCCCACTCCACCTCCATCCCTAATTCCAATACAGAATGAATAACTTTTTTCTTTTACGAGTTTCTTTACTCTGAAGTTCACTTCTGAGATAGTTGGCGATTTAATTCAATCCGTTAAATGAAAAGGTGAAGAAGAGAGAAAAGAAATGAAAAAAAAAAATTTGTATCCTATATCTCATTAATTATCAGTTGAACTAGGAAGAGAAGAAGAGATAGAGAGAGAGAGGTAGGTAGAAGGAAAGAAAGAAAAGGATAGACAGTTTGGAAAAGTTCACCGAAATGGAAGCTTCTTCGACTGTTAGGACGAGTGGACATCCTTAAGGTTATTTAGTCTGTTGACCTCGTTTAACCATCCAACGTTAAAAGAGAAAGGAAAAAGGAAAAAAAAAAGAAATAAACTCGAAGAGAAAAATCCTTATATCCATAGGAATTGAGAATATTTTTTTTCTCACTGTCGGACGATGAGCTATGATGATGATGGGAAAAGGTGGAGGAGGTGGAGGAGGTGGAGGTGAAAGAGGTGGAGTAGGAGAGAAAGGCGACTACTGCATTCGCTTGATTAATTAGCAAAATTATAAGAGCAGAATGAAAAAACCGAATACACTCGTCTTTTGAGAATCACTCGACGTTTTTGCTTTTTGCAGTTTTTTTCTTCCTTTTTTTTTAATTTTTTTTTTTTTTTTAAAGCCTTTATTCGTAATTACCGTCCCAACGAATCAACTGAAATGTTTAAGGCGAAGAGAGTGCACTTCATCCCTCGGTGGGCTCCAATTAGACGCGGAAACTCGCACTGAAAAATGTTAACTCGTCTACGACCACACCCCCTATTTCTCTCTCTCTCTCTCTCTCTCTCTCTATATATATATATATATATATGTATTTTTGAATTTTTTATTTTTTATTTCTTCTTTTTCTTTTCCTGATTCTACACGCGATTCCTGTTTGTATCTTTGAACCTTTGACATTTTACAATCGTCGTGTAAGACATCGAATATGAAATCATTATTTACGTTCAGAAACATAAAAATTGATTTAAAAAAACGTTTCAAAAATGATCGTATAATAAAATTCTTTATTTAGTTTTTTTCTAAGTATACTACTTCATCATAAATTTCCCCTACGTATTTTGAATATTTATATCGAAGTTTTAAATAAGTATGTGTGTAATGTATGTTTGTATATAAAATATTAAATATACTTATAAATGAGAGTATTATTTATTTTGTAAGTGGCAGATATCTCATAATACTATCGTTAAATATATCGTCGATAAATGTATGTATATATACATATATATATTTTATATATATTATATATTTAAATATATTATATATGTAAGGGTGGGAGAAGGACGAAGAGTGCAAGTGTATGGTGTGCGTGGAAACAATTAATGAACGTGAAAGATTTGTAAGAATATGTAGCGATATGGATATGAGTGTGAGTGCACGCAGCGATATGAGTATGAGTGTGAGTACGTGTAGCGATATGAGTACGAGTATGTGTGGCAGGAAAGAAAAGCGAGCGTGCATGGTGATGTTATCGTTTTGTAAGCGCCCCGATATCTCTCCAGTATTCCCGAACCAGAAATCGGGAAGAAGTCTTTTGTTTGATCGGTTGGGAATAGTCTGGAGATTTCGAGAATGATTGACGGAAGTGATTGGGACCATTGGTGGGGTGAATGTATATATAAGCGCGGTGAAGAAAGCGGTCTTCGCCTTCTTGATTCAGTGTGATTAGTGAGTGTTATACAAGTGTGGTTACGGTTTCTAACTATTATTACTTACTTGTTCTTTTCGATTTCTATATTAAACCTTAATATTTAAGTATTTGTTATATTATAACAAAAACATTTCTTCTATTTAAATTCAATAAATCTTACATATATATATTTAATTATATAATATTATTTATTTATATTATTATTATTATTATATATATGGATATTTTCGAACATAGATCTACAACAAACTAATTATTCTAATCATAATGAGACTCTCACAAATCATACATTATACTTGAATAGAAATACGTAACTATAATGTTGACTATTACTACTACTACTACTACACAATGACAATTAGTAACGATATAAGTTAATTAACGGATATAAAGTACTCGATATTCAACGGGATACTCATATTTCAAGATAATCATCAATTTTTCTCTCATTTCATGAAAACTCTCTATTCTCTCATACACATATCTCTCCCATATACATGTATGGGAGAGAAGAAAGTAGAAAAACATGAAATTTGTACGACGAATTGGTCGTAGTTAAAAGAACAACAAAAAAAAAAAAAAAGAAAAAACGAACGATGGGTTAATTTATACCGCGTTGCACGATAGTACCGTGGATGATTCTTCTGATAAAAGTTTTTGGAATTTTCGTTAAAATCACTCGAGCTTGGAACCATTAACGTTAAGAGAGTAAGTTAAATAACTAAGCTGCGGTTTTTAGTACTTTAAACACACTTTATTCGTAGAAAGTAGCCAAACAATTGGGAAAAGATATAAATCAATGTAATTGTTCAAATTCCTTTCACGTGAAAAGTAAATAATTGAAGCTGTAGACGACCGGAGATAAAAAATAAAAAATATATTTTCGTTTAATTTGGATTTTTTTCTCTCTCTCAACACCCTTCACCCTTCTCCTACTTCCACTTTTTCATTTCTATCTTTCGAAAATAACTAATTAGAAAACTTTACATGGTTAAATATTAGATATTAACATAAGCATTAAAAGAGATGCTTTTAATAAACGAACGAAGGATAAGATGAAATTGTAAGATGGTATCTACTCTTCTTAAAAATGTGATATTTTGAAAGTTCATTTAAAAAAAAAAAATTAAATGAAAAAATAAGCGAACTTAAAATAAGAACGATACGGTCCGAGTACTTAATCAAATTTCTACGATGGAGGAAACATCTAGTGAAGATTCTATTACGGCCGCTTATAATTACATTAATTTAAAAGTTTAAATTACCTTGTATCCTGCCAGATCCTGTACGATACACGACAGCATAGCTTCCCTACCGACGGGTGTAGTCACGTTGACAATTGGTTCCTTAAACTTTGGATCTAAAAATAAGGAAAAAGAATTTATCAAGTAATTTTCAATATATTTTCAGTACTCAGGTTAGAAGTATGATGCAAATAAATGTGAGTAAATATATAAATTCAATTAATTTAATTTTATTTACGTCTTTATTAGGTATTAATAATTTTATATTACAAAATAAAAGATAATTTAGGTACAATTCTTAAGCTTTTATCGAATTAATATATTATTGTTATATAATTATATATTATATTAATTTATAATTATATATTAATTATATTTAATCATTATTATATAAATATCTAATTATATATTAATTTATATTTATTTTTTTAAATGTAAATTAAACGTTCTTTTATTTCTTTCTATTTAAAAAAAAAAAAAAACGGAATATCAAAGTTAAACTTCGATAATTATCTTATCTGCAAACCTCACAACTTTTGTTTAAAAAATAGTTACCTATATCTAATTTTATTTTCCATCCACCCCAACATCCCCTTACAAAAATAGATTCACCATATCTTTCTACACGTTGAACTCTGCATAGAAAAATATATGTCATGATAAAATATTAGACTGAATCAAAAGGAAGATTCTCAAAAAGATAAGTATCCTTACTCTAGTGAACAAAAAGAAAAAGAATAATAAAAAATAGTTCAAATTCTATGTATCGTTACTCGTTGCCCTAGCTGCTGCAAGGGTCAACGTGTATGTCTTCTTTGAAAGTTAAAAGTAGCATCGAAAACATATGGGTTGACTATAACGGTGATTGTTTGCAGAGGATATAAAATAGCGATCTGCCATTGAGAATAGAGCGGAACGAAATCGAGAGAATGAGAAGATAAAAAGATAAAATGAGAGATGGATAGATAGATAGATAGATGCTAGTAAAAGAGAATGCAAGAGGTGGAACGTGTCACGGATGGATTCGTAATGGAAGAAAAATAGAGGGGAAGGGTTGTGAAGAGGATGAGGGTGAATGTGGTAGTAGTAGAAGAAAAAAGAATAATTTCAGTATTGTACAATGAGAAGCAATAATAAAACCTTATGCAATATTTCACTATCTTTTCCATGATTTTACTTTACATACATATATATTAAAATTATATAATATTATATAGAATTTTATTATTACATAATTTATATTACAATTAATTATAATATATATATATATATATATATAATTTTCTTACTATATAATTTATATTATATATTATTAATTATTATTATATTAAATATATATAAATAATATTAGAAAATATATAATATAAATATTTTATAATTATTAATTATATATAATAAAATAAATGTTTAAATTATATAATAACAAAATTATATTTTATAATTTAAAAATTTATAATTTAAATTACAAATATATAATAATATAATTTATAATTTTAATAAATTTATAATTTTTAAAATTATATATTTTAAATTATAAATATATCATAATATAATTTTAAATTTTATCTTATAATTCTAATATATATATTATATAATTGTTACTCGTTCACTGTACCATATATAGTATTATTACATAATATTATATTACCTATTTATATATATTGTTTAATTATTTAATTTGGAAGTGAAAATAATTAAATAAATTATAGTATACATTATATTATAGAAGTCTTTGACAAAATTCTCTTTTTGAATTATGAAATGCATAAGCAATAATGCACATACGTAAATATACATATATTGATGCATTGAAGCGTACAGTCAATTGCGCAATACGATCTAATGCTTTGATCTTATTGATATGAAACGCGAACAAGTTGTTGACCGTATTGCGTGCCAGTCAAATAATTAATTATGGAATTTCAGAACTAACTTATATACGTAGTAGTAGATACGTTCGTAGATATCGTATACATACATACACACACACATGTTAGCCTTTAATATAAAAAAAACAGAATGGTATATCAATAACAGTATTTATTGTAATATGAGAAGAAAAATTTAATACAAAAAATAAAATAAAAGCACTACCGTGCTGCTAGATTTCACTATTTTATTGTCTCTCTCTCTCTCTCTCTTTCTCTCTCTCTCTCTCTCTCTTTCTCTTTCTCTCTCTCTCTCTCTCTCTCTCTCTCTATATATATNTATATATATATATATATATATATATATATATATATATATAATACATAGAAACTTATCTATCCATCGTTATATGCAAACAAATCTCGCAGGAAATTCGAGTATATTAAGACACCTCCTGATCCAAATGATTTGATGGATTGACTCTTTTTCATTCCATCTATCGTATGTTTTTTTTTTCCTTTTTTTTTTCATAACATATCCAACTATCCTGAACCATACGGGCACGCAAAAGAATGTATTCGTTCTCCGTCAAAAGTGTCGAACGTCCACGAATGACGTATCGGCGTTACGAACCCGAAAACTAAAACCGATGCGTCTCTGATAAAGAGTTTCGTTTTTTAAATGTATCAAACATGGGGTGGGAGGAGTTGGGGGAGGGTGGAAGAGGAAAATTGGACTCACGCAAACTATTTTTATAGAACTAACGATTCGTTAAATCTGAAATATTTCATAACTCTCTATTTTCGTGAAAAAATATAGTTTCCCTGATTCTTGTTTGGTTTTGTTTTTGTTTTTCTTTTTGTTTTTTCTTTTTTTTTTTTTGAAAAATTTGGAGTGTACGTGAAATTTATGTTAAGCATATTTTTTTTCTATCAATTTAATAATCGTTAAAATATAAGTAAAAACGTTTTAACTTTCTACGATTATCTATTAATATTAAAAAAAAAAAAAAAAAAACAATTTTGGATAAAAATATTGTAGAATCAGTTAGTTTTATTCGGTGTTTCCTATTTAAATTTATGTACCAGAAATACCGTAACATTTAAATGAAAATTTTATTCGCAAGACAAATACGGACATTTCCAAATTAACAAAAACGAGTTTTCTCACGGATGTTAAAATATTATATCTAGTTATTCAACATGTTGTAACTTCGTAGTAATTAATTTATATAACTTCAAAGAGCATTTCTAAGAATATCCATTAAGTTTTATCATTTAAGAATATTTATTTGCAATTTTTACACAACTATTTTAAAATGTACAATTGATTAATAGATTCTTTTTTTTGATTCTTCGAAAATTAATGAAAGATACTTCTGAAAGATAATAAAATATTTTAACAGTTTTGTTAAATGAACAAGTCTCAATGGTATAGTTGAATAGTCCTCGAAATGCATGAATTAAAACATTTATAATAAAAAAGAAAAAAAAAAGAAAAAGAAATAAATACATAAAATTACATTTTCCTACCATATTATTTATGTATTCAAGAAACGACGGTCTACAAAAAAGGTGAATAAATTAATCGAATTCGCGTTATATAAGAAAGCGAGATATAAAATGGAAATAAAAAAAAAGAGAGAGAAAGAAAGAGGTTAAATTTTGAATGAAACATAAAACCCCCTTTTCCTAACCCTCAAAAATAAAAGACTAACCGACATCGAGAGACTTTTGGCTCGTACGGACTGACTAATTAGTTGTAATTTTACATCGAATTTATAAAATAAAAGGTATATGTATATATATATATATATATATATTTATATTATAACTATATTATTACTAATTACTATATATGTATGATTACCATATATAATATTACCTAAATAAATGTAATATAAATTATATAAATATTATACTTATATAATAATATCATATTATAATTAATAATATAATTATATTATAAATTATTACTTATAATATTTTAATAATTACAATAATAGTTATAATAATAATTATAATATATTATAATAATAATTATAATATAATATATAATTATATTATACTAATTATAATAATTTATAATTAATATAATTATACTATTAATTATAAATTATTATATAATATTTATAAATTAATAATTAATAACTTATTTTTAAATCATTTTATAATATTATATAATATTATATAATATAATATAATTAAATATCAAAATTTCCTTTAATTTATTATTTAAATATTAATAAATTTAATATATTATTTAATAAATTAATTAAATTTATTTATTAATATATAAATTAATTGAATTATTAAATAATTAAATAATATAAATTATGTAGATATAAAATATACATTTTATAATAAAAATACACATTATATATAATTGTTTTGTATATTAAATTAATTATATATATATATGTTAGAAAGGGTTAGGAAAATTGATATTTACGTAAGGGACGTACAGGATGCTAAACTACAAAAACTCTATATGTATGTATATCCTCTCTTTCTTTAAACACATTTATTTACCTATCTTTTTTATCTATCCCTCTCTCTTGTTCTCTCTTTCACGAGCAAGCATGCGGACAAAATCCCGACGTTTTTTCAATTAATCCTTTTTCACGAGCTCCCGCTAACAAGATTCATTGTTTTCTCTACGTGCCGTCTAACCATGAAATCCACCATCCATGCTTTACGTTCGTCGGCGTTGTCTATCCAATTAGCAGTCGCAAGCATCCTTTAATCGAGAAACGAAGTTCCTAGTTAAAAAGGGCCAAGACAATAAACTCGTTGAATTGTTCCATTTTTTTTTCTATTTTTTTTTCCTAAGAACGGACTACTATCGTAAGAATTCAAAGTTGTATTTGTTAAAACAAATAAACAAAAATTGATTTATTTTTATGTTTCTTTTTAATTTCATTTTTTTTTAACAGTCAGAAACAATTTTTCTTTTTCTTCCTCCTCCTCTGCTATATTTTCTATTTTTTTATTTCCCAAGAACGAACTACTATCGTAAAATTTCACAGTTGTGTTTGTTAAACAAAAATTCACTTATTTTAACATTTATTTTTAATTTCATTTTTTTTTTTCTTATTGTCGGAGACAACTTTTACTTTTCTTCTCTCTACCATATAAATAAGTATCACGATTTATTTTGAATTTAATAAAAAATAAGAAAAAAAAGGAAAATTGATTTGATTGGAAGGAAAATCTATCTTACCGATTCTTACGTCTTTCTATCTATC